TTACTTGACATTTTGTAATTGTAATTTTTAGTCAATTCTGAAAACTAGATTTTACATGATTCTTTTAATACATTTTTTCGTAATGAACTTGTTCAAATAAGGAAATAATTAAAACAATTTTGTTTAATTTATGCCATCATTGCCGCGGTTATTTGTATTACCTATTTTGCAAAGCATTAAATGAAACTCTGAGATAAGTATGATTAATAATATTTTTCGTGTATATAGTGCTGATCTGTTATGCAATTAATACGTGTATTTTTTAAATATGTGAAAAAATATAAATACTATGCAATAATATTCCAAGAAAGTTTAAGCGTAAGAATAAGCAAATAAGGAAATGATTAATTCAATTTTGCTTTAATTTATGCTCTTCGCCACGGTTATTCGTAATACCTATTTTACAAAACATTAAAAAGAAATTCCGTATTGTGTATGTACAGTATTATATATAATGTTGATCTGTTACAATTATATGCGTATAAAATACTATGCAAAGTTTAATGTTCCAATTCTTTGCACACTATTGCAAAAGGCTTTGTTCGTGATTGTTAATAATGCTGCTCTGTTACTCAATTTAAAATATTATAAATAAATATATAGTATAAAAGCAGCTACGGTTTTCTCATATTTATTCAGAACTTTTATTATTTAAAACTTTGTGAACCAAGATTATTAAAATGGAAAAGAATAATTTAATAATTGAACGAGAAGAAACAAGACTATATCACTATAGAAACAGTAAAATTTGTGATGAATGGAATTGGACAGTTATCCTGGCAGTAATTCTTTTTATAGAATTTTTAATACTTTTAATTATTTATGCGTAAGCAGATTTTTATTTGCTCATTCCATTGAAACTATATTACAAACTTGTATTGATTTACGGTCAATTTAAAAATCTCACCATTCATATTTGTACATTGAGCCTTACGAGCCAATTGTACATGGAGCTTTTGGGATCGACCAACCTGAACCTTTAGATATGTTTATAATACGAAATATAAAAGATTTAATACAAATTATAGAAGACTTTTTTAACGTAGTTATCAGCAGAAGTAATGGATTTGGACATCCAGATTATGATGGGTTGGTGCCAATTTAAATATTAAAAACAATTGAAATTTAAAAGTTTTTGCAATTTAAAGTAAAGGTTCAAAGATTTTTG